TCGTAAAAAGAGGGGGAAACACCATGGATAGCCGGGGTTCGGGTGCCCGGGAAGAAGGGTGATGTGTAACAGGAGGAGAGGGGAGCAGCAGAACGCTGTGGGTTTGGTTCCCGAAGATGCTGTCAGACTCACACATACGTTTTTATTTTTTTGTTTGGGGGGTGCCGTTTTTTTACTGGTATTTTCTAAATGCCATAGCTTTTGGCTCAAATGATAGACCTTATTGAGATTAAAACGTATCCAGGGAAAGATGCTATCAGATTCCAGTGTAATCCAGTGCATACCTGACCTCGGATCCCTTTGAAACCATCTGCACGAGATTTAAGATAAGTAGTCCCACTGAGAGAAATCAGTTTTTAGAACAAGCCTGTGTAAGGCAAGCAGAAAGCTTTTCATACATCAGAATAATTTTAAGTAGTGTTTACTCGAATGAAGCTGCCATGTGACAGTGGCAATGAAAAGCTTTTGCCCCCCCATAAACTGAGGCAAAACCATCAGTCAGCTCTCAGGTACACAAGCAAAAATACAGTGTCAATTTAAACATACAGATGCACCCTTAAAGATCTCTGGCTCCATATTATCAACAGAACCACAGACACAGGTGTTGTTGCTGTGTTCTACCTGCATTCATTTTTCAGGACTTGTTTCATTAGTCTGACCCATGTGTTATGTTCCAAGCAATCTGAAATAGCTTTTTTTGTGCATTCAGGTTACTAGTGATAACTGTAAGACCCAACACCTGAGAGCAGGAGTGATATTTGCCAGTGAGAAGTTTACCTGTAAACAGTAACACTTAGAAGCACGTGACTTCCTTTGAGCCACCCCCTCCTGTACGACGGTGTTGAACATAAAAGCTTCTAAAGCCAATTCTACATTTCTGCAAGTTTATTCTAATGTCTTTGTGAACACTTCTCCTCTATCAAATGCATAGCTATGTTAGTTTGTTTTGCGAAAGGCTTTAATCAGATGTGAAAAATAGATTTAAAAAGGTAGTATCATATATACAAAATAGTTTGTAAAATATATGTATACATGACCAGACTTCTCTTCTAATTGCAGGCCACGTCCAGCTGGATAGCAGACCTACATTAACCACCACAGGTATAAAATCATAGAATGGTTAGGGTTGGAAGGGACCTCAAAGATCATCCAGTTCCAACCCCCCTGCCACAGGCAGGGACACCACCAGGTTGCCCAAAGCCTCATCCAACCTGACCTTGAACACTTCCAGGGATGGGGCAGCCACAACTTCTCTGGGCAACCTCTTCCAGTGCCTCACCACCCTCTGGGTGAAGAATTTCTTCCTTATATCTAATCTAAATCTGCCCTCTTTCAGTTTAAAGCCATTTCCCCTTGTCCTGTCACTACATGCCCTTGTAAAAAGTCCCTCTCCTCTGTATAGTATAGTACAGAGTTTTCATAATGTGGTGGTTAGTCTCCACTAGTAGTAATAGTAGCTGTGATTTGTAGCCCAAAGAGATGTTTAAGGAAAAGAAAGAAATATTTTGGCCTAACCATCTGCAAGTCTTTAGTTCTGCATGCTCCCAAGATGTGCATGTTCCCTGTTCCCACAATGTTACCCTTATGTGCATTCTGCCACTGGAGATACTTATGTCTATATAGTTTAGCAGAAGAAAAGGTATAAATCTTGCATCTTCTCAGTTGTCACTAGCTATTATACATACTGTTACACTACCTGTTATGACTCATGGGTTGCATCCAGCCTCAAAGAGAATGCTCAGCTTTGCAATAGCAGCATTACTGAAATAAAAGAAATATTTATTTTCTTTTATTTAAATAGGTGTATTTTTAGATTACGTAAAATTGTAACCATTGAGTTACAGATTCTGTTTAAATAAATACAGCCAGTTAGTTAGTTACATAAAATCATGATCTCTGAATATGTCTGTATAGATACAGATTCACCAACAGATATAAAACATGCATGTCTTGACCACGTAAAATTCAGACTGTCCGAGTCAGAACTTTAAGAACAGCCTCCAGAAGCGGTGGGTGCAGACAAACGCTAATGAAGCTGTTCAACTGCATGCCTGCTTACCTGATATGTGAATGAACTTTTGATTCACATTAACAGCTAAACTTTAAGGCTGGATGCACAAGTTTAAATAATTTCTTTTTAATGAATGATTTAGTGGCTAAATCACTTTTTGATCTCTCTAACAGATGGAAATCAGAACATCACAGAAGTAGATGCACTGGATATAAGGTAAAGTTCTGATGGCAATGACAGAGATGGCCCGTGGCACGGAGGTCAGTGCAGGTTTTTTTTATTTTTGTTTAGAATCTGACTGGAGTATTCAACTCAACTCCACCCACTTACAGAGCACATTTCTAGTTTTAGCTACACCAGATGTAGAACCACCCTTCTTATCGTGAAGGCATGCAGAAGAGACTCTTAGGATTGGACTCCTTTTATGTTAGGCAATGTGCAGAGACTGTGGCAAAAATACCATCACAATCTAAGGAACGATTGGGCAGACTGAATGATAGAGTGTTGCACAGGAATTTAATCCTCTAGGAGGGTAAAGGGACCACGGGATAGCGATTCAATGAGTTTTTCCTACTCCACCTTACAACGTCATCTAGCCCTGGAAAAGGTAAACTACCTGCCTGATAACTTCCTTTGCCTCATCCACTCGGTGAATACAGCTGAGCAGAGGAAGAACTATTTAGGGAACCATCCTTTAATGGTCATTCACAAGATCCAGGGACCTAACTGTCCAAAATCCCTATTAGCCCACTATCTAGCAGAATCCTAAGGAAGACAAATTGCCAAAATCCGAAAATAAACTCTGGTACTGGTGCAGGTGAAATGTCATTCATAAGAGGGCTAAAGTTTATCATCTTTGCATTTTTATCATGTTAAGTACTCAAATTGGGGAGTGTGATAAAGCAGCCCACTTAACTTTTCTTACTAGTTATGCAGCTGACATTGTAGAAACCCCCAGACATCTAGAATTCCTGATCCCTGTTTGAATTCTTACGCAGACGTTACAAAAAGATGTTCTATTAAGAGGCTGCTCATAATAAAGTGGAGAAGCAGAAATAGTTTATGGATAACTTTGGTCATTTGACAGCAAAACAAAAGTCTTTTGCTGATGAAACTCTGATCTTTAAGTAACACCCACAGGCAAATATTCTAAGCAACTTCTTCCACCAATTGCACCAAAACTGAACATTCCATAGCAGGAAAAAAACCAGTAACATGCCAAAAATGACAGCTCTGATTAGAGCACCGTGACCTGGACCGTCATTCTGTACATCTATAGCACTGGCCCTGTCTATTGCCAGAAGCATTTTACTTTCTGTTCCCTGCACCGATGCCTCTGTCTACCAAAGCAGTAAGATTGTCCACTTTGTCTCCCAAAATACAGCCACGCCAACACTTAGAAACAACCTCTGGGTCCACGCGTACAGTCCGTAGTGTGCTATCACAGAGTTCTATGTTGTGTTTTGCTCATAAAACAATAAAATTGCTGAACGCTACTCCAAACACAGAGGTGCTCCGTACGTTTGTTGCCATGATAGTTTAAAGTCCTCTACTTAGAAACTGGGTCAGTCGTTTCTTCTGTTCTTCAGAACAACACTGTTCTTCAGCTTTAGGATTTTGTTGGTTGGTTGCTAAAAACTTAGATGACCAGTTGTATTGTCATAGCTTTGATTTTGTTAGGGTAAATAATACGAATTTGTTCTCCTTTTGCAAGATACAGTATCCATACCACTTCATCGCCAGTTTATTGGTCTATTGGTTATGGTGCAGCACTTGGTTTATTTAGAAGAACTTGAAGCAAATCTCAGACAGATACAATTCTAAATAAGCATATATGCACTCTCCAATTATGTTAGAATATTTAGCTAAACACGTAAGATAGAGACCTATCTTTAGCCGACTCTAAAGTGCACTGTTATGCCTTACTGCGTTACTGATGGGACGGCCTCCTGACAAGAGAAAATATAAACACGTCGTAGAGAGACGGTTCACCCTCCCTGATAGAGCCTAGTACACACCCAACACTTGTTTTTTGCTGAACTCCTTAACATTCTCAAGCTTGTCAAATAGACTTAGCCATTTTTTGCTGAACTCCTTAACATTCTCAAGCTTGTCAAATAGACTTAGCCATTTAGGCTTTTCCTAAAACGCTGCACGTTTTGAGGTCTTTTCTTCTGAAATTGGACCCTCAAAGGCTCTAGATTTTTAGGTCTCTTCTTCTGAAATTGGACCCTCAAAGGCTCTAGTCGGTTAAAAAATCTCAGCTAGCAGGAATACAGGAAGGGAATTCAATTAGCCATTATTAACTCATTTATCATTTTCCATCTCTGGCAACAGACAAACACTTGATCCTGCAGTGCAATACAAAATGAACCATCAAAGAAGAGGAGTTGCATTAATCTTCAATCACGAGCACTTTTTTTGGCATTTGAGGCTGCCAGATAGACGTGGGACCCTTGCAGACAGAAACAATCTGCAACGCAGGTAAGAAACTCTGTTTCTCTACTCAAGCTTAAAAAGCTGAACTTCAGAAATCACAGTCAAATAAGCAGTTAATCTTACATTTAAGTATAGAACAAAAGGTTTTGCAGACATCAGCACCTATGCAACCTTGGCAAAGAAAGCTATAATAAAAAAGGCTTCAAGGCACAGTCCTTCTGAGTCACAGAAACTGCTGGCACAAGTCCTATGAGTTTAATGTGTCTAGACCTCTCTTAGGACAAACTCTTTGTAGTAACTTCAGATACTACACCTGCACTTGACACAGTTGAGTTCAAAATCAAGTTTAGTAGTTTTTTTCATAAATAATTCATAAACGTGAATATTCATTCACAGGGAAAGCAACTGAGTTGGTAGCAACTGACATAATTTGAGCAAGATTTTTACTGATACTGATGTGTTTTAACAATAGTTTGACAGACCTTGGATTCGAAGTCAGACATTTTGATGATCTGAAAGCAGAAGACGTGCTGCAGAAAATTTATGAAGGTAGGAGACTATATATTGGTTATATCTATTTGTAGCAGAATTTCCAGATATCTTCCATTCTCTATTTTCACCTAACTTAAAATAATTTTTGTGCACAAGGGAGTTGTTTAAAATTAGAAAGACTTAAGGGTTAGACTACAGATTATTGTGTTGCAATGTAAGTGAAGCTTCTGTGGAGAGAACTAATGAAGTCACTAAAAGCTGAAAGTACGTACCTGCAGCTGGGAGAATTCTTCTTTTTGCTTGTAGTGGCCCTTATCTTCAGCCATGTTGAATCACTGCACCTTCAAATCTCTGCAGTGTTACACTATGTGAAAATAGGGTTCATTTGAAAAAGGACTGATTGGAGATTAAATTATGTGATACAAATGTACAATGTTTTTTGAAGCTGTAGACCATTGTTTAGTCATCTAAACACCACTTGACTATTTCAGCCTCTAAGGATGACCACAGCAATGCTGACTGCTTTGTTTGTGTGTTCCTGAGTCATGGTGAGAATGATCATGTTTATGCATATGATGCCCAAATCAGAATTGAGACAATCACAGACATGTTCAGAGGAGACAAGTGCCAAAGTCTGGTAGGAAAACCGAAGATATTTATCATTCAGGTAAGGTGTCTGTTTCTGAATTCAGTGGAGTTAACACTGACCTGTGTCTTCTTGTAATACAGAAGTCAGTTTTCCTGATAGAGTCTTTCCACCAGGGAAAGTTTTTTGCATCTTCAGGAAAGAAGGTGTAGGAAACTGTTCCTTAAAGGCATTTAAAGACAAGGATTCTTCTCTTTTTTAATTAAGGCCCTGTCAGATTGACTATCAGTGTATATTTAATGGCAGAGAAGATAGTAGCATTTTTTTGAGAAGCTGTGTACAGCCTCAGCTCAGTTCCTGCTGTTCACACCTCACAGGCCTAGGCTAGGCTGTAGAAGGCTATCAAACCTCCTTGCCTTCACTGTTGCCTTCCAGGCAAGTCTCTTTACTTGATCCTTACAGAAGCTGGTTTTTGTGGGGTTTTTTGGTTGGTTGTAGTGGTGGTGTTTTTTCTGGTTTTCTTTTTTTTTTTTTGGTTTTGTTTGTTTTCTGTCCATGACCAATACCTGACACGTCCATAGAATTTAAAGAATAAATTTAAGGTTTTATTGTCTCAGAAATACTGCTTATTGGAGAAACCACTCCTTGTTTCACAGGATAATGCAAGTTGGAAGGGACCTCAGGAGGTCTCTGGTCTGGCCTCCTGTTCAAAGCCAGTTCAAAGCCAGAGTCAGTTATGAGGTCAAACCAGGTTACACAGGGCTTTATCCCATCTTTATCCAGATTACAATTAGCAAACTCAAATGAGAACCTGGCCTTCAGCAGATTGTGATTGTAGTAGTTTATAGAGTAATTCTAAGAATTACCTTTTTTTCAAATTAAAGCTTCCTTAGGCATAAAGCCGCTGCAAGAATCAGCACATTGTTAATTCATCTTTCATTAGGACTCATTCAGCTTTGATTGTTTTTTTTAACCAGGTGCCAAAGATGGAAAAATATTTACATATTTCAATTTTAAGTTATAAGTAATACTTGGAAACATTTATAATATGCAGTCATCAAAAAGCAAATTAACTTAGTGCAGTTCATCAACTGAGTTCTTTTACAGGACAATCGGCATAGCATTTACCTTTGGAAATCAGAGGAAAGAGCAAGGATGGAACTTCATCACTGTAAATGAAAGAAGATTTTCATGTTTCTCTCATTAGCGATAGCTCTAAGTAATGCTCCTTACCTACTTTGTATCTTTTGGGTGTGTTCTTACCTTCCTGCTCTCCATGTATAGCCTTTCTGCAGCACTGACAATACTGGGCTCACTTACTGGCTTCTCACAAAAAAGCCTCCTTCAACTAACAGGTTTGAGACTGAACTAAGAGCCGAAGTGTAACAGCATGTAACAAGGGCTGTGCTTCAGAGCATTTACTCATCGCTGCCTTGCCAGCAGGTCCGAGGGAGGTGATTCTTCCTCTCAGCACTGGTGAGGCTGCATCTGAAGTATTGTGTCCAGTTCTGGGTTCCCCAGTACAAGAAAGATATGGACTTACTGGAGTGAGTCCTGCAAAGGGCCACAAAAATGATTAAGGGACTGGAACATTTCTCATGTGAGGAAAGGGTGAGAGAGCTGAGGCTGTTCAGCTTGGAGGAGATGGCTCAGAGGAATCTTACCGATGTTATAAACACCTGGTGGGAGGGAATAAAGAAGAGGGAGCCAGGCTTGTTTCCGTAGTGCCCAGTGACAGGACAAGAAGCAACTGGCACAAATGAAAACACATGAAATTCCATCTCAACAGAGGAAAACACTTTTTTACTGTGAGGGTGGTCAAACACTGGAAGAGGTCACCTAGAGAGGTTGCGGAGTCTCCATCTGTGAAAATACTTAAAAGCTGGCTGGACATAGTCCTGGGCAACCTGCTCTAGCTAACACTGCTTGAGCCGGGGAGGTTGGACTAGGTGCTCTCAAGAGGTCCCTTCCAATCTCAGCAATTCTGTGGTAATCTCAGAGCTTTCACTGGACTTTGTCACCAATATTTTAATTGACAGAGAAGTAAATGGGTCTTTATGAATCCAGACTCATGGTAATGTGGAACACGTAACTGAACAGAAGTCCCCCCTGGTTAGTGTCAGAAGTACCATAGGTGAGCTTGGCAGAGGTCAAAGTGTAACTGTTTCTCACCAACAGGCATGTCGAGGTGATAAACATGACGATCCAGTTATTGCTCAGGATTCAGTAGATGGTAGTGATGAATCCGTTGTCAATGAGACCGAAGTGGATGCATCTGGTGTCTACACCCTGCCTGCTGGTGCAGACTTTATCATGTGCTACTCTGTGGCGCAAGGTAAGTTCTAATATTCTACATTTGATGTCTGACACTTCACTGTAACCAGCTTGAACGCTTCTTCATTTTGCAGTCAAAATGATGAGTACAGTTCCAGGTCATTTGTTTTGCATGTCTGATAAGTGGCCCCTCATCTGAGAAACAGCCTCGCATGTTAAGGAAAAAGTGAAAATAAACCATTAAGGTTGCAGTTAATTTGCCAAGAAGAAACATTCTCATCATAATCTTGCTGCTGACAGCAAGGATTCCCCTCTTCTCCAGAACTGCAGGATTTTGGTGACTTCTAAATTTCCTTGCGCTACATGACTATCCTCTCTGGTCCCTATGTATGTTGTCCCCAGTCCCATCTGCTCTCTTGCAATGTGCAGATACAATCCTGTAAGCTACCAGTCCCTGAACCACACTCCTCTTGGCTGAGCACTATAAGTGATCTCAAAGCCATTTCCCATCTACAATTTCCAGTGAAATTACACAGTTGGCAAACTAAGATTTGCATCCATTAGTAATCCCTTACAGATGCAGCTAGCGAGCAGTAACTCTCATGAATATTTTTCAAGTGGCATTACTACTTACATTCGGATATAATTTCCATGTTCTTGTTCTACAATAGGTTACTTTTCTCATCGTGAAACTGTAAACGGCTCCTGGTACATTCAGGATTTGTGTGAGGAACTTCAGAAGCACGGCTCTTCCTTGGAGTTCACAGAACTGCTTACTGTTGTTAACAGGAAAGTATCACATCGCAGAGTGGATGTGTGCAGAGACATTAATGCTATAGGAAAAAAACAGATTCCCTGTTTTGCCTCAATGTTAACTAAAAAATTGTATTTTCATCCAAAATCGAAGTAGATTGTTATTTAACAATGATAAACATACATGCTGTAGAAGTAAAAAAACCACACCATCTTAGTTCAAGGAGACTAATATTCTACAAGATTGTCTGCAAAAACACTGGGATCAAACGTTATAGTTTGTATATATAATAGTTTCTAAAATCTTAAAGCAATTTTAATGCTAGTATTCCAGCTCTGTTCATCTCAGGGAAATTGAGAAAAGTCAGCTGGTGCAAAACTATTAAGAGGTGCTCAGATTTTATTGAAATTGGTACTCTAGATCACTTTTTTTCTTAAAAGTTTTTTGCTTGATTGCTGTCTAACTATGGCACATTTTACTATTTCCAAAACATTTCAAATGTTGCGTCAGATTAGCTCTTCTTGCTCTATGAGCACAGTTTACAGGGAATATGTTTGTTGGGCATCTTTTTAAATCCGTGGGCAGCAGCATCCACCTTCCGATTTTTGTGGATTTGTAGCTTTTTAAGACTTTTTAAATTTTTTCTGTCAACACTGAAAAGGAACTTAATTCCTTGAGTACAACTGTAGCATTAATGTAGATAAAGGGCTTCTTTTTGCTTGCACAAAGCCAATCATTTCAAGGTTCCAGGCTCACTTACAACTGTGGGACATCTCTAGGCAGCTCTGCAAAATACAACACATATGCAAACCTTCATACTGCAGGCCTTGGTGTTGGGTCAGCCTCCTCCTCCCCTTGGCCTCAGAGGAGCTCAGCCACACGCTGTCATGGTGTATATAAAAGTGAGAGTGTTTGTCACCACAGGATGTTTCACCATAGGATTGTTACTACTGCAGCATCAGTAATTTCAATGGTGCTTACTAGACTCAAATATTTCTTTTATTATTTTTTACATTATTGGTACATACGCTTCACTCTGGGGGACAATTGAGAACTCCAGCTGAGAAAAGCGTCTTAATCCACATTCCTGGGTATAAAGGAATCGATTTACTACTTCTTCAGTTAAATCTTTCCATATACTATGTTATAAGTCACAGATGTTAAATCTTACTATGGCTACTTTTAAGTTTTGTATAAATCATGATTGTATAAATTTGAATGCTTTGATAAACTCTTTGAATAAAATGCAACATTGAAACATAAATGATTTTATGGTAAATGAGTTTGATATATCTTACTCTCCCAGCAATATTTACTAAAAAAAGCTTACTTACAACACAAGTCTAACCTCCACCAATGGTGTTGTATCAGAGTCAAAGCACAGAGCTAGGGAATGGAAAACAGTAATTTCAGGAAGAAAAAATTCCTTAATATTCAATGCAGAAAATTTTTCTGTGAGCTACTGCTGTGCTATAGCAAATAGTCCTAAAAAGACAGCCCTTGTTCTATAAAACATCCCTGTCATTTTACCAGCAGGCAGAATGCCTCATTTTACTGATGAGATTTGACAAAATATCTTGAGGAACTTTGCTTCAGCAGTTTCTTTATACTATTAAAAAAACAAACCCCAAACCATCAAGTCACCAAATCGTTTTTATAGATATTTATTGCAATTTTCAAAACTATAGTGGTCAAAAATATCCAGTTTCTATAGAGTAACTAAATGTTTGTATGAGCTTTGAAAGGGCAATTCTGATATATACAAAGCCAAAGTCAGTCCTTGTCATTGATTTCCTGGATTGGAAGCCTCAGGTGCAGAGGTTGGCGCAGACGCCTCAGAGATTCTTCTGCCTGCCAGTGCAAGAAAGAGTGAGAGTTCATCCTTCTGCAGCCCTCCGTTTCCTCCTCTTCTTTCACACCTCCAGTATGTTTTCTTTCTCAGAAGGCATGGATCTTACGCAAGAAACCGACCTAATCAAATCCACCCACTCCCCCACACCCCAAAGTAGTACGTTCCTGAAATTACAATTACGAAATTCATACTCAAAAGGTTACTGAAAAAGCATCAAACTCTAGTCTCATGCCAAATGTGGCTCATGAAATGATACCCTTGAACCACAGGTCTTGGACTAAAATTAGGGGTAGTTTCGATTTTCTTTTACAAGACATCCAACATAGGGCTGGTGAGATGGAGCCGGGGAGTAAGAATTGAGGAGTGGCATCTGCTACGTTTTTTCACAAAGATTACAAAGTTTCTCCCTGGCACATACCACCAGGTTTTACAGAATATGGGTGACTGGATGGAAATCTCAGCGTTCTACCTGAGGAATAGTACTAAGTTGTCAAATGCTGAACTCTGCAAGACAGTTTCCTTCCAAGGAAGGAAGAAGGTTGTGTTACCACAGCAGCGCAGCAAACACAGCATCTCCAAAAGCAATACAGCTATTCTATGAAAATGGCCAGAAATGCAACATATTTGAGTATGCAAAAAATTGATGTGTAGAGCTGAAACTGACTGACTTGTTTTAAACTAAATTTATGAAGGTCTCCCTTTCTGATGACTTACTGAAGTCGTTTCTACATCACTGGCAAACATGGCATGGTTATCAGCTCAAACTGGCTGGTAAGCTCTATGCTGTTTGGAATGTAAGTCAATGAGGCCAATTTTGCGTTAGCTGAGTTTACTGTAAAAGTCTGAACCCAGAGGCTACCTCATTATTTCAGGACTGTATTTAAATACCTCTGCTAGGTCTTCTTTGAGCTTGTTATACCGCTCCACATTGAAATGCTGCGTTTTGGATTTCCGATAGAAGTAGTGGAGGAACTGCCTGTCTTTGGCGTCAGGGTAAATGTAGTCCTGGTGAAGACAGCAGGGAACATGTTTGGGGTTAGCAAGAAAACTGGGAGGAGGTCAGAAAATTATCTGCACAAATGAGTTTTCAAGAGAAATTCAGCCTGTTTCAGGAAGATTTATCCCGTTCAACACACACGTATATTCTGTTACGAGGCTATATATGAAGCTATGCCCTTATAGGTCATAAGGACCTTTTAGACACATGGTAGGAATCATTTCTATCACATCTAAAGGAATTTTCAATCATCATAAAGACATAGCATGATCTTCATGACTGGAGCTGCCTGAGTCAACGGATACTACTTCCAAAGAGTCAGAGAAAGTTCTACTACTATTTCTCAAATAATTATTTCAAAATCTCAAGCACTGACACCAGCAGCTGTTGAGAAAAGCCAAGTACTAATCTACTAATATAGGAAAAAAATCAGTGAGGAGGAGTAAAGCTCACATTCAGAGCCAGCTGTTCATAAAACCAGACACATCTCCCCTTTTCACTAAAGGAATCTGACATCTCACGTGGTCTATAGATCCATCGGTATTACGGAAGGAAGCACTGGCTACTCTTCCACATACCTCCATAACAAAGAGAGTTTTGCATCACAGAAAGTTTGACATTGAGACATCTGCTTTGGGAGTGAAGTACTAAGCTAAATCAGGAAAAAGAAACATTCCTTGAAGTCTTAAAGGATTTCAGGACAAGTCTGTATTGTGCAGCTCAGTTAAGAACTGTTTTTTTTGTTACTCAGCAAAATTTTTTCTTCTAAACAAAGCCAGTTTCCTGCCCCATTTCAGCTGTCCTAGATTTACCTCCATTCAGTCAAAGTCAACGGAAAGCAGTCAGATGAAGAACAAAGCAACAACGTTTTTTCAGGCACTAAATTAGGTACATTTCAATAATGCAACTGCCACATTTCCAAACCATTTGGCATCCTGTACTGTTTATATGTGAACTCCAGCAAATAAAAGATTTTTTCAGGCACTAAATTAGGTATATTTCAATAATGCAACTGCCAGATTTCCAAACCATTTGGCATCCTGCACTGTTTATATGTGAACTCCAGCAAATAAAAGCTACTATTTGGTGGTTTCCTTCCTGGCCTGCTGTAAGGCAGCAATCACAAACTGGCACAGCCCTACCAGTTGCTCTCCCTTTACAGCAAGGAGCAAGGTGCTATTTGCTATTCAAAGTGATGTACAAAAACTTTAAATAAAAGGAGAGACTTCTTTCATCACTTTTCATTCCCTAGGTTATGAAATCTTACAAATAGTAGTTATGCTCAGCACCTGGTCTGCAGTTCATGTGTAACAGTACCTGGTTTGACTTGGCATAATGTAACGTTTAAATCCAGCCCCATTAAGGATCAAAAAAGTCCCTATCTGATGGCAAGGCTACTTAATTATAGTTTCATCAGAGCCCAAACATTGTGATTTTCAGAGTCAGTTTTCCTCCTTTACAATACTCCAGACATTTACAAAACGAAGACTTACCTGTTTAGTAAGAACAAAGTAAGCATAGAAAGCCATGGCACTCCCATAAGTGATGAAGTATGTAACTGGCTCCATGATGTCCCACGAATAGACCCACCACGTGAGCCACGCCAACGCTCCCCCTTGTGTTGACATCAGAGCTAAGCCAACCCACAGAAGCCTGGAGGTCTTTGCATCTGCACTGTCCGTGATTCTGGCTTTCATCTAAGGAAAAGAAATACAGAAAACGGTTCAAGCAAACATGAGCGCAACTGATGAGCAGCTCCTCAACTATGTTTTCTCCTGCTGGGCTAGATCCTTTTTCAGGATCTTTTGCTGACTCCTCTTAACGACTTATCCTCCCAAAAGGGATAAAGAAAGAAAAAGACTGAAATCCAAGGGCAACCAGATCTCCCAAGAAATGCTGCTTTTAATCTCCCCTTCCCACTATGAAGGATTTACGACTACTGGGTTTCCATTTACCATTCAAGGCAGCTCTGGTTAACACTGAGGGCTGGTCCTCACAAACCAAGTCTGAAGCCAAGGAAAAGTTTGTCCACTTTGTCAAGCTCTTTCTGGCTTCCTCCCCTCATGCGAGGTTAGCTTAGCCTGCCCTAGATCAAAGTTCGTACCTTCCCTTCTTGGGTTACGGCAACCATTAGTCCAAACAATCTGCCTTGCTGCCTTGGTGATATAGAAAACTCTAGCCTAAGCCACCGATGATTTCTACCTCACTATTGTTTTCTTCCATAATGGGTACTGAGAACTCAGAGAGTAACAAGTGAGTGAGAGGACTTTCAATCCCCATACTAGCCATGCCAAGGCTTGTTCATGA